CAGCACAGTTGACTAGCACATCTGTATCAGTTGGTAACGACACCCGGGCTGATGTACATTGAGTACGACGACAGACTGCTGATATGAAGCATGTTTGTGGTGGTTTGTGCATCAGTTATGAGTGTGAGAGGGAGACAAAGAGGGGGGGGGGAGGGGGGGGACACACTGTTTATTGTTGCTTGCGTGTGTGTGGGGGTGATTCAGAGTTCTATGAAAGGTGGGAGGGGAAGCCAACGGTGTGAAACCACTGTTGAATGTGTATCACACACACAGTTTGGCTGATAAGGTGTTCTTTCCTCGGGGCAGTTAACGGTTAATGGCTGATCCGTTTGGGCCAAGCCCTGCTGCAGCCGCGCAGCTTTAAGAGGGGGGGGACAGGGCAGGAGGGGAATTTGCAAAACATTTCAGGGGAAGTTTTGGATTATCTGAACTACCTGCAACGGTTGAAAGTATTTAACTGAAAACAAAATGTGCCCGCTCATGACCCTGTTTGCTCTGCAGGCGCTTAAAATGACTAGTTTGATAAATATTGTCTCATCACTTGTCCACTGCCGCTGTGGTGAAGGTTCCACCTACATTATCTAAAAGAACATAATCTAAAGCTTACAATGATGTTCTGTATTTGCATATTTTACTCCCTTACTTCATTATAAAATGTCTTTTTTCATTTTTGAAAGGCCCTGTGTGTACCAGACTATTGCAAAGGTGTGGGTAAGGTGCTAACCCTTAAATAATTCCACTTGTCTGGGTTTTAATGAGTTTTTAATGTCCCATGATGGAGGCTTGACCACCCTAGCAAGAATAAAGGTCCCGAAAAAACACTTATAACCCTTAGATTTTGGCACCAAAGTCAACGTTTACAGTTAATTTCCTTATAAAATCTGCAGCAGTGTCTGTGCCTTCAGTTTCACCTGCTTATCTGATTTAACTTTATGTTATTTCTGCCTATATTGTCCATTAGAAGGCAGTAAATAACTGATGCTTGTCAGGAGTAATGCAGTTTTGAAATTGAATGAATTCCATTAGGGAAGTAAAATGAGACATTGGTTCCTTATTTATTACATGACAGTTAGGGCACGAAGCCAAGCCAGACCCTGGACACACACGATTAATTCTCCTTTCCAAACTAAGAGATACCACATTTGCCTACTATCTTTTTTTCATTTCACGTGTCTGTGTGTCTTTACTTCTTTGTCTGTGTGTAAGCTGTGGTTGCATTTTGCCCTATAAGATGGTACAGTATCTGCCTGCTGCTCTCTTTTCCATATATAACTTCTGACAGGCTCTCCTGTGTCCCCCTGCCCTACTTTACACCTTCCAGCAGCACTCACATTGAACAGTACAGGTGACTGGACTGTGTGCCTGGAGCCAATTCTTAAGTTAAAAACTTTTTTACAACATTCACTACTACTGGTAGTGATACACCAAAGGTGACGTTTAAGTATTGGATGTAATTTAATTATCAAACATTACTGCTTACGTGATCAATTCCATCATTAATTGTTTAGTATTTCATTAGTGCCAAGTCCTTCTTAGCTGGGGTGAAGTCTGTTTTGATCCTTATAAAGCAGATTACTCATCTGTATTTATCTTAATTGGTTTGTTTAGCAGTCTTACAATAATTGATCTTTTGCTGCCCCCTTGTGGTAAGAGAGCGCACATGACTGAAGCTCATCCTGAAGTAGGAGAACACACTGTACCACCAGAGGCTTTCAATTATATGACTAACTGATTAATATGCTTTTTGATTTATCTTCCGGGCACCTACTTTCAAAAATATTTGTTATGTTTCGGTATTGTAATGATCATCTTCTACATCAAATTTTTCTTTTTTTTTGCATGTGAACCGTCATTATGTCTGTACGTTTTCCTATATTGTCTCTTTATATTGATCTGAATGATTTTTAGGGGTCAGTGAAACTATACAGTATAACTCAAGTAGCAAGGATAAAACACTTACAAGACTTACACTATTGCTCTCATTTATAAATATTTGCAATCCTACATAAAGGACAGGTTCACAATTTCACAAAATCTGTCTTGAAACAATCGTCAGATGCCCATACGAGCACTGACACAGGTTGAGCTTGCTGTAATCATTCCTCCTTTTCTTATACTGAACAAGAACAGTACCCCCACTCTGCTATCTTGTTCCCAGTTTTTTTAAAGTCAAATGGGAACAAGATAGCAGCGTGTGGTTACTTTTATAATTTTGTTTATGCAGCTAATTGTTACCCATTTACGGATGTGTGTGTTCCCCCTGATGATTTCCTGTTCATACTGGCCGTTAAGAGATCCCTTCCTAATGCGAGTCCAATGGAAGTGATGGTGGACCAAATCTACAGTATATTCCAATCGAAAAGATCAAATATATTACATATTACATGAGGTTTCATCAGTCTGAGTTAGTCAGATCAGCTGGGTATCTGCCATATTTATAGTCTTTCTAGTATTTCCTTTTTATGTATTCCAGTATTCCAGACAGTGTTTCCTTGTTGAGCCATAGTGGAGGAATTTCATACTACATAGACTGTAACTTTGGAAGATATCCACTCGATTTGACTAAGTCAGACTTCTGAAGCCTTATTGTAGCTTAATTTTTTTTCACAGAAAGAACTGTGGATTTTATCATTTGCTAATAACTACAGTATGAACATGTTCAGTGTTCATGTTGGGCACCTGATTATTGTTGAGTCTTGAAAAACTTTGTATATGCATTGTGTATATGTGTCTAGAATAGGTGTTAGTTAACTAAATATATTATATCATAGCTATTGTGATGATGCCCATTAGCACTTTAGCTCAAACTAACTGCTCCAGTAGCTGCAGCACCTAGCAGCACTACTCATATCATCATTCTGGGTGCTAACAGCTAATTTAGTAGGAAACATAAATCGTTTGTAATTATTTTTTGTTGAATCAGTGTTGCATACATACTAAACTTAATGAATAATAGACCAAATGTAACGGTTGGAACTCTAAAGCTGTACAAACACAGAACATCAGTGGTTGAATGTAATAAATGACAAGTTTATTGTTGCACAAAATGTACAAAATAACAAGCAAATGGACAGCCCCTACCCACCCCTTAGCGTCCCTCCCCTCCCTCTGGTTCATTCGCCATAATGAAGCTGAATTTCTGAAACCTATGACTACGGCAAGTCCGATGGTCCAAGCCAAACGCATGGTAATTCTGAGAGACAACACATACCCAATTTCAGCGTCACTGAACAATTAAAAATGAATAAAAACACCTTATTTACACATTTCTGTCAGAACTTTTACAACATGCCATCTATATATTTATACAGAATATGCTTGTGCACATACCCTTGTATAGAAAATATATTATTAAGATCAAATTAAATTAGACTAAGGGCTATAGACATCCAAAGTACAGCACTTCTTTTTAATCTCCTTTTTGAATCTTTTTTATTTTTATTTCCCACTTAATCAATTACTTAGTTCTTTAACAACCTCTTACTAAAATAACAAACTCTAGTTGTATGCAGATGTCGATGTGTTTTTCCTCGAAGACCCAAGCTGACCATGTAGATGCCTGCCGAGAAAATCCTCACATATTTACAGTGGAACACTCAGAGCTCTCCCTTGAAATGTGTAGATTTGACCGCCTTCTGACTTGTGTGTGTCATCTTATGTTGTTTCTCATCCTCGTACATACTTTAAAATGATGATTGGTGATGCTTTTCAGAAAGATTGTATCCCCTCAAACCCCCCACTCCTCGAGTCTGGCTTGGTGATGTAATAAAAGCAAAAACCAATCAGCTTTGGCACTGGGTGAAGAAGTTAAGTGTGCTGTGGTTTCCTACTATGCTTTTTCTCGGATCTTTCAGGTCATTCATCCCCGCTTGTGCACTAATGTGAAATCACAGAATGGCTAAAAGCAGCTCTCAGAATTTGAGATTTAACATATTAGTGCGAAAAAGCAACAAAGAAAACCCTTTGTTTTATTGATTTCTAACAAGATAGTACTGTGATATCTAAACCACATTAGCACCATGGAGAGAGAGACAGAGAGAGAGAGAGAGAGAGAGAGACAGAGACAGAGACAGAGACAGAGAGTGAACGACATTGTTCAAGTAAAGCCAGACTACTCACAAGATGTTTTGTGCTGGAACATATACAGCGTAAGGGCACACAGCATGGATGGATTTTTTTTGTGCCAAGGAAAAACCACATATCCCATGGATGGATGGGTGGATGGGAATAAGGGTGAGGGTGAAGGGTAATTAGGAAGAAATCTGGGCGGAAATGGAGGCGTCCTAAAAAGACTACTCATGTCCTTGCCTCTTTCCCTTCAGCTGCACCGATGCAGAAAGGAAACAGAACAGGTAGAAGCAAATCTCCGGAGTGTATCCATCACATTGCTCCATAAATCACCTGTAGGTGGAGATCAGTGCAGCTGAAGGAGACGGCCATGCCTCTACATCTGCAACCTCGAGAGCTTAAATCCCTTCCAGTTAAACTGAGTGTGTGAGAGGGGGCGCAGGGAAAGTCTGCGGGGTCTGTTTGGGATCAGATTTCAGGGGAAAGGAGATGGCGTTGTTTTCAAAGTGTGTGCAAAAATACTTGTCAGACTACTGCTGGAACATGAACCCTTTTTTTTTTGTACATTTTCAGCTTGCTTCAGTTCTGACCTTTAAATTTTGCAATATAGCTTCCTCTTTAATCCTACTTATTTTTCATCTGCTGCTTGTGTTTCACTTGTTTTAATATATATCTATATTTTCTTTTCTGGCTTTTTTTTTTCTCTTTTCTTACTTTACAAAATGAGAGACAGAATGATGGACAGCTGACAATATATATAATTATTTTCCTCTTCTTATTATCATCAAGTTTGAGATGATTCTCTTTGTTCGTTGTAAACAAACAGGTTCATCAGCCACTGGCGTTTGTTTCCTCCTCGTCTTCTTTCTTCCTCCTCCTTCAAGTGCACTCCTTCTCCCCCCCCCCCCCCCCGGTGCGGCCGCGCGCGCGCGCTCCACCGCTCTCCTCGTTCTCATTGCAGGAGGGCCCTGATTTGTTTGGAGGTGCTGTCATCATTTAGATGCCGTGTCGTATACCTGAGGAGGAAGGTGACAAAGAGGTATGTTGAAATCCTTGAACATCATGTCTCTGTGTATCTCTTTCTCTGTTGCTGAAACACACATGTTCACACACACCTCAGTGCATTCAGAAGTCCCTCCACACTGTTGGACGGTTGCTCTTTCAGCACCTTGATGCAGCCCTTCATCTGCCCGACACAAAGACAACACAGGGCGTTAGAGAAAGGTCAGCAGCCTCAGATCCACCTCATTTGCTGCTGCTGCTGCTGCTGCTGCTACTGCTGCCACACACTGACTCAAAAACGCACATTTAACATTTAAGTGACCTCATCTACCAGTGTAATGTTGTGATGTATCATACATGAGCAAACACATATCTTTATAAGGTTAGACCTGTCGGTCCCAACCTTCTTGGCTTCTTACTGGACATAAGCTGCGAGCAGTTGAATCAAAGAGTGAATTTTGAACTTTAATCATCTTTGTGACCCCTCAAATTTACTTTGGGACCCCTTTTGGGATCTTGACCCACTGGATCAATATCAATGCATATAGTGAGTGTATTGTTTTTAGATTGATTCTGAGGGTTTCCGGGCCTTCCCACCTATTATTAATAGGCTATCTCTGAGGAAACATTGATAATTGTTTTTCCATCAGGCCTTAATCTGGTCAAGGTAGACAAGTATCTGAAACAGCATTTAAAAGTTAAATGTTTGAACATCAAAACTCCACAGAAGCACAGAGTGATAAATTAATGTGTTAGGAGGCTTTTACTGCAGGTTTTATTGACCGTTAAATAGAATCATCTCATACTGCACTGTGACAATGTATTCTCAGAAAGAAATCAAATATTGATGAAAGCACATCATGCAAACTTGTGTGCAACCTAGTCACGATGTCGGAGTAGAACTAAATCAAGCTTCATCATAAAAATAAAAATGTTGATCCCTCAGGTACTACATTACACACTTAGACTAACCTCCTTTGCAGAGGTGGATGACATGACTGTTTTTTTTATTGAAAGCCAAATCCAACCGGATTTAAAACTGATAGATTGTGTGTACTCTGCCTCTAAAGGACTTCCAACTGTCTGTTTTGTTTTCATTCGCCAAAGTACATCATTGGGTACAGAAGTCTATAAGTCCCTGGGAGGCAGAAATCACAGAGATGTTTGTACTCACGTCGATTTTGGAGGTTTTGGCAAAAGCCCCGACAGGGTGAACGTGGTCATAGAGAATTATGACTCCCACCATCACCCTCATGCAGAAGAGCATTGTGTCTGTGTTGGTGAACCGACAACGGTACTCCCTGTGACAGAGACAGTCATGGAGGGAAGAAGTTAGAGGACAAGATGGGATATGGCAGACTGCGGTTATTTGAAGCACTTTGTGATTGCCTTGACAAGTTCTTGATGACTTTTTTCTTCATTTAGCTAATGAAAAAGAGTATACATTTTAAATTTAGCATGAAGGACTCTATGAATGATTCACTCTATGAATTGGTCGTTATTCAATCTATTGAATTAAAAGCTCAAACTTGAGACGGCCTCTTTTGTATTCATTTTGGAAGGGCTTGCTAATTAAAATCTGAGCCTCTGACCTTTGGAGAGAAGGACAAGGAGAGAAGATTTAGTAAGGCATGATAGAGAGAAGGGAAAGTGAGGAAAGTACTCACGGAGTCTCCAGCATGACACGGCACACACAGGCCATGGTGCTCAGGCAGTCTGTGGTGTCCTCGATGGGCAAGGTCTTATTCTGAAGGACAGAAAAAAAAGAGAAATCAGCACAGAAAAAACCCTCTCTGTCTAAAGATGACATTCTTTTTGAATTTAGATAAACTCGAGGAATGCTCATCCCTCCCTTCACTAAAAAATGAACTGACAATGCCCTCTGTAGTTTGTGTACTGATTGAACAAAATGTTCTGCCACAAGGTGGAGACAAAGTACATCTGCAGAGTTTGGTTACAGCATAAGCTCAGTAAAGCAACTTCGCTAAAAGGCAATCATGACCAGCATGTCCTCTGAATTTTGCATGAGTCTCAAAAGTATTGAGCTGTGAAGTTAGAAAACGACTGCTTCCTCTACACTAAAATACTGTTCTGACAGCAAAGAGAAGAGGATGGGGGAAGTCCAGCATGGGCATCTGAGGTGAGGACTCAAGCACAAGGATGTCCACTGACTAAACCCTTTGATATGAGTTACATATAATGTTATTTATAAAGATATTTTTGCAGTGTATAAACACTAATCTTAAAGTAGTTATATGGTGGTTTGGTTGTAGTTTATTTAGCTTTATATGCTTTTGTATAGCTTTTTAATAAAAGACAGTTTGCTCTACACTCTGTGTGTGTGGATGACTTGACATTGACTATAACTGTGAAGAGTAAACTAGTTTGGACAGTCACTGGTTAATGTTCAATTTTATAATCATCAATCAACCTAAACGGACAGATTACGTATTAATGAGCATATAAAATATGATACATTGTTACAGATTAAACTAACCAATAATTGAATAATGTACTATATAATATAATATAGAACTGTGTAACAATAAGAAAATAATATGTCTGCATTGAGTACATTTTGCTGATAATGCTTTTACATTTTTAAGAAGTAAATGATCAGAATATTTCCTCCACCACTAACTTTAGCTCTTGAAGCCATCATCTAAGAGGGAAAACTACCCTGAGCGCTCCCTTAGTTTTTTGTTTGGATGCTTTATAAATCAATTTCATGTGACTTTCGCTTGATGCTTGCTTTTATTGACAATAATAAAAGTTGAACTCCAGCTCAATCTTGAAGGTGCTGACTCTTTGTGTATTGATAAAGTAGACTTGAAGAATTGGAAACCTACCTCTGAAACAAACTTGGTGGTGGCGTTACTCAGAGTCTTCAGCATCGGTGTTGCTTCAGCGTAGAACAGGGACATCCGATTGGCCATCTCATTGTTGACCTCGTTCTCCGCTTCCAGCTGTGTGTCAACACAAAACGGATTTCATTAATTAGCATTAATCACCAATTGCACCCAGTCCAATAATCATGTTATCCAGCTGTGATAAAGCCAATCCTGGCCCTATTTGTGTTTTTTTTTTTGGTCAGGTGGGGGGGGGGGGGGGAGGGGGGGGGGGGAGGAGATATCTCTTCAGCCATTAATGATTTAAAGAGAGAAGGTGAAGCCATGCTGCTCAAGCTGAGCATTAGATCACGTATGCAACAAAAACAGCCTGCAGCCAGATCACGTCTCCAAGGCCTCACCTGCTGGTTGTTCAGCCTATTCCTGCTTATAGTCCTCCTGTAGTAACTGAAGTCATTCTGAATGGCTGGATTTGTCATCTGCATGGTGAGAGAAGAGGTGATTTATGTTCATCAAAAGGCAATTCAAGGATATTTGATTTTTTGATATTGATTTTTCAGTAGAGTAAAGGTCAGTCTGTGAGGGCTGTAATTAGACCAACAATGATTTCCTTCACCTTTAGTTCATCAAAGCTGAGTGTGAAATGAAGGATCTCAGCAAACTGTTTGGCCAGGGCCTGCTCTCTCTCCAGGTGCTGCATGGGAGCGTACGGCGGGCTGGTCAGCGCCTCCAGCAGGCTGCGCAAGGCATTCTCTGCAAACATACTTAGATTTCAGAAATGTATCTGCACAAGCTTGAATCTGCATGTCACACTGCTGCTTCTGTAGGCTTGTATCTCCTTGTGTTTAGACTGCTGTAATTCTCTCTAATCTGGCCTGGATCTGAAGGCTCTTTCATGTCACCAGATTTAAACAAAATGCAGCAGCAGCTGGGTTTAAACTGGTTCAAACAGATGAAATCACTTCACTCCAGTTTGGTCACATCCTCGCTGGATATCACTGGATACCTGTTGGGCTTTTAGAAATGGGCCCAGCACATTTGAAATGCATTGGGATCTGGCCTTGGGCAGAATAACAGACCTTCGGATCCCCTCTGAGAGCAGGGTTCAGGCCCTCAGACGGGACCCTTCTGGCTAGGATTTAACGTTTGTGACTGGAAAGTGTTTTTTTCTTCTTAATATTTTTAACCAGGCTAGCGGCATGGCTCAAGTGATGGCAATGCTGGTCTGTCGATCTGTCGGTCGACCACTTTGAAATATACACTTACACCTTCATAGACTGCCATGAAATTTGGTACAGACATTCATGCATCAGAATCGATGCAGCAGAACCAGAGATTCAAAGAGTCAGCATGCTAATACACTAAAGTAAGATGATGAACACGGTGAACATTGTACTCGCTAAACATGCTAGATTTGTCATTGTAAGCATGTTGGTATGCTAATGTTGTTGCAAAAACTAGAGATGGCTTTAATGCTGAGTACAAAATTTAATTATTTATTAAGATCATTGTTTCCATAGTGCTGAATTCACTAACTGGGAAAGTGAGAAATGTTTAACATTTACGCCTTTTCTAAGGTTCAACAGTTCAAAAGCTCTTTTTTTACCCTCCTTTTGCCACCATAGGCATTCACACATACATTTCACTCTACAAGACAAACTAAATGAAGATATACTGGTACTCCATAGAGATCACACTGCAGCCAGAGCATCCTTGAGGACACCGTATCAGTGACCATCCACTGTGTCACATGTGCTATTGAACCTAAGCCTATTCATTGCTTTGCTGCCTCTAACAAATCCGACACCAGAGTTGGACCTGAGAGGCTGTATGTGGTAGTAATGCCTCAGAAGCATACTCTCCAGAGGCCCCATCCCTTCCTCTGCATTAAAAATGTATAAGGGCCTTCTATAAATACAGCACTGAAGTGTTTCATCTAAAGGGCCTGAGCAGAAACCCACTCTCCCTCCTGCTGTTAGCCCAGAGTGCATGGTCCCTATCCTGAGCACTGATTCCTGAGGGTACATACTGACAGATTGGACGGAGAAACACTGCAGCTGTTTGTTTACTGAACGTGCGACCTCTTAACCTCATATTGCCCCCTTTGATCAAACACATAAATAAACAAAGGTGGTGCAGGAAAGAACTTGTAGTTTGTACTCTCCTTGTCATTAAGATTTGATCCCTTTCTCTCGATAAGGAGGGCGGGAAGGCAATGTCTACATGATATCTGTTGTACTGTATCTCATAGCCACATTAGCGCTCATACATTATCATTAATTATTAGTTAGCCCTCTCTCTATGGTAAGAAGAGAACACGATGTCCATGAGATCGAAGTATTATTGGAAGGCAGAGCAGAGGCGGCAGCCGAACTCTATTCCTCTGCTCATACTTCTCTCTCTACTCTCCCTGTCTCTCTCTCTGTGCTGGACGACCAGTTACCACTGTTTCCGTAGCAACGGCTGCCTGGCTGCTAGGTCAGGATGCTGCAGAGATGGCTGAGAGGACATCATAGTGTGTGTGTGTGTGTTAAGGAATGCTGGTGGACTGAAATTGCATGTGAAATCACGATGGCGGTACATGGCAACATGGAGTGGAGCTGTGAAGCAGCACTGACAGTACAAGATGAGCTTCTCCCCATTGCTAGTAATGATAAGTCTCCTTGTTCAATACCTTAAATTTAATCTTCCTCTTATTCAAGGTTTAAATGAAACACATACAGCTCGTTCACCTTGATGTGGTTAAAACGTCTTTCTTTTTGCTTACTTGTCAGGGTCACAGTGCATTGGCTGCCTGTCACATATGATATGTCACATCCTGTGTCTGTTGTCAGAAAGACAAAACATCAGCTAGTGCTACCATGTAAGCAGTAATCTGTGAAACTAGTGCTGAACATGTTCGCAATCCTTTACACCTCTATGCTTAATAACACTTCCTTTCACACATATTTCTGTCACAAATGTGACAGAGACCAAAGAAAGATGTAATTTCTTTGTCAGAATACAACAAAGGCTCATTTAGCATGTCATGAATGTGAGTGATGCTCCTCTTTCTGTGTGCACCCTTTACCTCTTTTTCTACTGTTGTTACATCTTCCTCCCTTCCTCCCTTCCTCCCTTCCTCAAACCCTATACCCACACAACGCTGATGTACCTTATGGTAGCCATAGTCAAGGCCTTCCCTCTTTGATAACTGAGAGCAAAAACAGTTTCTAAATTCAGATTTAGGTTAAAGCCACTTGCAGCTATAATTTCAGCTCCTATTGGACCTCCACTATGGCCACCAGAGAGTTGTGTGTGTGTTACATCACTGCAAATTACTCTATAGACTGTATGTAATAGCCGTGCTCACCCAGTCGGAGGGAAAACTCGTAGAACCGCTTCAGCTTGGCCACCAGGGGGCAGACTGCGTTCCAGGCCTTCTCCTGAAGAGCGAGGTCGCCTGGGTTCTGGATGGCCTGTGGGCAAAGAACACAGGCAGAAGCACAGATGTTGCTTTTCCAAAAAGGATTTAAAAACCTCCCCATCTCCTCTATCCTCTCTTCCGCAGAGCAATGATTCACTTTAGTAACAGTTTCACTTTCAACTTCTGCTTCCATACTGTAGTGATCTCAGTCGAAACTGACGAATCAAATGTCATTTATCATCAAAATCTGTTTAATGACACATATTATCAACTCAATGATAAATCACTGGTTATTGTCATATTTGTTTAGACATGGTTAACCAAACAATCCAGAAGGCATAGGTAGTAACGTCCTTATAAAAAGGATAAGGCTGCTGTTATTTCATATTTTTCTGAATATCAATAAAATCAGCTATGCATAAGTTCATCTCTCAGTACAACTTTCTACCACTTTTGTTGCACTCAGGCCAAAGCCTATCAGTCCATATTGAAGATTGAAGACTGAAAAAGGCTCAGTAATTTCCTAAAAGAGCTGGGCACTGTAATTTTCTCTACTTTAGTTACTAACTACTACTCAAACAGGAGTAAATAATGCATTAGTTGCGGACAAATTTCAGCTGTTGATTGATACACATTATTGACAATAATACTCTTTTAATGTTCCTCTAAAATTCCATCCTTTTAAAAAGATGGATTGGCGTATGCTCATATGCCATATCCTGATTTCTTCTCCCTGGTGAGATTAATTAAACATAAAATATTACTCAATGTCACTAGTAGCCTCACAGCCCTACAGAAGCTATGATTTTAACACTGACTTCAGAAATCCTCTGCAGGTGCACGTTAAAAGGAAAAAGTTGAAAGCTTAGCTGAAATATAGTTTATAAAAATAGAGTCCGCCTAAGTGTCTGTTCTTAAGGAATGCTTCCAAGTCCTCGAGGTTAGGAAGCAAGGAGAGGAAACGATTCAGCACTATTGCTATGTTAACAAGTAGAGCAATGCCAACAGCTGAGCAATCAGCAGCAGTAGTCGTTCGTACTGCAGAGGGAACTGGTTTGCAGCAATGTGCCGCTGAGCAAAAGCTGAACCTGAACACACTAAAACTCATCAAGACCAGCATGCCAGCTTTCTAGCTATTGATGTTTATGCCTCTACCATAACATTGCCACCAAAAACAACATTGCATGAAAAAATACATTTCTGTCTCTGCCTATATTTACTTCATGCTACACTACATGTCAGAATTTCACCGCAGCAGGCCATGTGAATCACACAAGTGTTATTTTTTTATCAACTGCTTGGTGCTCACTTCTCGTATCTCCTGGCCTGCACCATTATAGGACTGCAGCTCGGCTAGGATCCCATGAGCCTCCTCCAGCACAGCGCTGACCTGGTTCCACACAGCTGTCTCTGCCTCCGTGGGCTGGGCATCTGGGAGGGGTGGAAGGAAGGGAAGTAAAAGGGGAAGGAGGGAAAGAGGAAGAGAGAGAGTGGGAAGTGAAAGTGTGATGTAAGGTACGGGTAAGGGATTAAAATATTGAGGGAGGGGTGGCAGAAAAGATGGAAGGAAGGATGAAGGGGAGGGTGAAGAAAAAGGAGATTTGAGGAGAGAAGGAGGTTAGTGATGAAGGAGGAGCTGATATCCTAGAAGGCCAGATAAAAGCTGGAGATAACTAATTACTCGCTACATGACTGCAATAAAAGCGAAATGTCCCTACAAGTGAAAATGAATGCATTTCATCATATTAGTGGACATATCACACATCTAAGGTCAAAATCTGGCCAGTAAATGGATGATCCAATTTACCCACCATAGTTCGAACAAGAGAGCTGTAAGCCACACTCTGTCACACAGTGAGGTTTGATTACTGTGTGTGGTCCCTCCAAAAGGACCAGATGATGACAAGTCAGTTTCACTTTGGAGAATTATTTGGATGAGGATGTAACGACTGATAGTTTAACATTTTGATGGTTTTCAGGTGTCATAAAAGTGCCGGGATTGCAGTGCTTGAACAGTGTTTCTGACTCCTGAACTGTAATCGACTCAACTGTGCATTCAGTGCAGATTTATACAGCCCTAATTGTCTTTTCCATCTTTTTCTCACTTTTTATTTCCCCCTTTATGTCTATGAATGGGACTCTTTTTTTTTTTTATTTTGCCCTCAAGGTTTAATTGTGAGAAATGTTAAAACAAACAAGCAGAAGGGAGGACAACCTCTGGGCATGCTTACTCTTTCCCTTTCTCTGTTTCACACATACACAATGAGCAGCACACATTCTGTAAACTCTTTTTGCCGCAGGGCACCTCCCAGTCACAGTTCTGCTTTGTTTGCCCATGTGGCATGCTGCATGCATACAGGAGGGATTACGTGTTTGAGGGACGCAATTTACGATGCATCCTCTTGAGTCATAATTGTGTTTGGTTTTCTTTTTTTTTTTTTCAAGCTATCTGTCTCAATGTGTGACTCAGGTATAAAGTGAGAGTGGGAGTGTGCCCAGGCAGTTCTCTACATGCGGTAGCACTGCTGATTATTTTTGCACCCTAAGGCATTGCCTCCCTGCAGAGAAATAGTAATCATGGAATATTTTCTATCCTACATACACAATGGCTGCCATAATAAGCACAGCAAGCATTGCTCTTTTAGTGGTGACTGCTCACTAATGTGCTCCTGCAATTCTCTGGTAAACAACAACACATTTTGTTTACTAGGTACAGTACTAATTAAAGGAGCATATGCTCATAGCTTTAAAGGAATAGCTCTCTTTCTTGCTGAGCCGGAACTTAAAGAACAATAACACAACTGTATGCTAAATATGAACATGGAGCCAAGAGACAGTTAGCTGAGCTTAGCATAAAGACTGGGGGCAGGGGAAACAGCTAGCCTGGCTGGTTTTAATGGGGCTTAGGACTAGGTTGGTTTTTGTATGAATTTAAAAAATAAGATATTAAATGTATATAGAGTAGTGAAGTATATAGATTGTAGTAGGTGGATTTTGTTACCTTTGGACAAGCCATTTCCAGTCTTTATGCTAGGCTGAGCTAAGCTAAGCTAACCGGTTTTTGTTTATATCTTCAAATGTGAAATTTGCCAAGCTGTTCCTTTAAGGAACCTGTGTTGCTTTAATCTTGCAGACGGATGCAAGTTTACTTGTAATGATGGACACGGTGATGTTTTTAAATGAGAAAATGATTTTTTTGTATTTTGTCATCAGATTTGTTCCTGATCCTTGAAAAGGTTTGAACACGGTATAATTATCAGCATTCATCCATAAATAGCTTCATGGGAGCTCAGTGTGGGGTTTAAATCAAACTTCGAGCTGTGTGACAGAGGTGACTGCGTCTCTGGGTTGAGGAGGAGAGCTCACAGATGGCACAGGGGTGGTTGGAGGGGGGGGGACGTGTCTAAAGCTGCCATGCCTGAGTCTGACTCATTCCACTTGCTTTTGAAGTAAAGTGAATCACAGGCATAATAAATGAAGGGTAAATTCAGCCTGTTTGACAGCTGATGTCTCTTGCCATCGGTGAGCTCTCCCACTCCCACTGTAACATACAGTCAGTAAAGGAGGAGGAGGAAGCCAGCTGTTAAAGGGGGAAAGGGGTTGAGGAGGGGCAGAATACGTTGGGATACACCGCAAAGTATCTACATCTTAACAATCCATTTTAGTCTCATAATCAGTCTTAAAATCTTCTGTATGATTTTTTTTATGCCAAAGTTGACTTGTTTCCAGTGCAACGACACTCTCAGGGGAATTAATTGATTCGACAAAACTTTCAGCCAGCAGCATGGCTTTGTGTTTAGTGCTAATGAGCAAATGTTATCAAGCATGATAACACGCTAAATGGTGAACATGGTAAACATTTGCTGCCACACATCAGCACTGCGAGCATGTTAGCACGCTGATGTTAGCATTCAGCTCCATCAGTACAGCCCCACAGAGCTGCTGGAGACTCTTGTTAACCGTTCTGTCAAAATGTTTTATTCGCTGCCAATACTACAGAAGATTTTAACACTGAGCACTAAAATGACTTGTTAAGATCGACATTTTCACACTGTAAAGTTTAGAATTCACTGACTGGGAAAATAAAAAAAAGGGGAATAGTAGGGGGTTTTATTTACCATCCTCTTTCACAACCTTTCTCTCTTGCTTTCAGTTTTTCTTTAACAGTCTCACTCTCTGACACACACATTATTTAGCCTAGTGCACACTCACACACAGATAGGTCAGACATACAATAGGGGATGAAGAGATGAGGAGGTGGAGGGATGAGGATAGCCTTCCCATTAGCCATCATCATCCCTGAGCAACAAAAACCCACACAGGACTGGCATTCAGTTGATTTTCTCCTCAGTTTTTGTAGCTAAGGAGCCGAGATGAAAGCATTATTGTCATTTTGCTACAGCGTCACCATTCCATTGTGCATCTGTCTGCGTCTAATAAGATGTGGCGCGTGTGAATAAGACCCTTTTAGAAAGAAGCCAAATGACTTTCAAATGCCAGTCCCTGGAGCAGAAAACAAAAGATAAAGAAGAGGGTGACTAGGAGAAGAGCTGAGGAAGAAAGGGGTAAATAAGGACGCAAAGATGACACAATGATGATACAAGGGTCAGCTGAGATCAGTGGAATGAGGAAAACAAAGCAAAGGCAACGAAGAGAAAGGGATAACTAAAAAAAAAAATAAGAAGCGGATGGTCTCACGTTCAAAGTCAAGGAAAACTATTGGGCCATGCTCAAGTTCGGCGCAAGCCAGCACTTTCAGGACGTTTCCCATGAGCCCCCTGGAACAGAGAGAGGGGAGAAGTCTGTGGGTGATGAGGGGATGGGTGTCGGGGGTTGTGCGCGTGTGTATGTGTGTGGGAGTTGTATGTGTGTGTGTGAGAGGTGAAGGTGTCGGGGTGGAGGATTGGATGAGAGGGGGTTGCTGGAATGGCATGGTGGAAGTATGTCCTGGGTGAAGCATGGCAACATGGACAGAGCTTCTTTAATCCCACTCCTATGGATTTATTTATAGTTTGCTTTAAATCGAAAAAGTGATTGATTTGGTGTCGCTGGTGATGGCGACCCCAACGTTAAAGAGAATGCGTGTGAATGAGACACAGAGGAAAGAAAGTCCAATTAATCAAATTCTGCAGGAAAAAAAATCAAAATCAAAGAATTTATTCCTCATTTTCTGGCACAGATATTAAAGATATATGGGATTGTGTCAATAGGAATTCAGAAAAATATCCCAAGAATCACACAAAATAATGATAAATTATAAAAGAAATATAAATACAAAAATTTGACTCATTCTAATATGCTATTCAATATTTATTTCAATACAAACTTGTTGCATGAAACACATACAGAAAAATCGAACTGAGAGAGAATAAAGAAAAATGTAAACCAAAACAATTACCTCAAAAGAAAAACTCATAATAAAAGTGACCCATTTGATTAGAAAGAACCCATGAGTGGGCGCATAGGTTCCCCGCAATGATCATTCTGTGTCAGAAGTGGAGCTGAAAACTGGAGCAGCGAAAGTGAAAACATGTGGGTTACCTTTGACATAAAATTAGAGAATATTGTAATCAAATGAAGCACTTTTGTATAGTTTTATTGCAGGTTTTACTCATAAGGTTTTGTTTTGGTTTAAATTATTTTCATTGATTCTCAGTTTATTATATAATAAACTTGAGGTATAATTCTTGAGAGATTTTGTTGAATAATTTTGACTGAGAAATGTAATCCCATAAAATAAAAGCACACACTCAGATGTAATTAGGAGTCAAAGCTGAAAATACTGTATAAAAGTCAGAATATATATATTGGAAAGTTATTTGGGGGCAGTGTTGTTTAAGAGCTAACAGCATACATTAATACGTATAACTGGTTTTGATTCATACTTGTGCTTATTGGCCTCACTGTAATTACCTATGCACCATTTTATTCATACCTACGCACCATATGTTTATTTCATCATTGGATAGAAGAGCTTTTAGCATCAGAAAGCCCTGAGAGTGGGACTAGAGAGCGTCTGATAATGACAAACCACACCCACAACACCACTTTATCACACCATCAACAACTCAGCAGCTCGCATCCAAATACACCTCCCCTGACCCCACCCAGCGGCCTCCCACTGAACACCTCTGCTGCACACATGTGCTCTCACATTTCAAGCACACAGACACGTGCACACACCCCGGCGCTCACTTACTTTCAAAGTCCAGGAAAAAATGTGGACAGTTCTCTAAATCCTTGCCAAGGACCTTAATGAGGTTCCCCATGGCTGGCGACCTGGACGAGAGGAAACAACAAAATGCATACAGTACGCAGAACCTGGCAATGCGCATGAAAATACACAACATGCACATGGAGGACACAGCAGGTTGTGACTGTTTTATTTTTTTTGTACCCATCTGCACTGCTCTAATTATCCCTTCTTCCTATCCTCCTCCATCCTTCTGTCTAAACAATATGTCCAGAGCGAAGTCAGACGCTCCAGTCATAAATGACACTGATCACAGTTTGCAACCCATACACAGCGTATGCTGTATTCGATTAGAAGGGGGGCCTAAATCCAGTAGTGAATCATTTAGCTCACTCATTGGGAGTCAGTAGAGCTGAGCAGTGGTTTTAATCCATTTACATTACTATAGTAACCTAATAAAAGCCTGCTATGTACGACTACTTTCTCCTAATGCCCTTCATGTACAGCAGTCTATGGATACTTTATGACAAGCTCTTTATACTTCATACCCAGAGGCCTCATGCCAGTGCTTTATAAAACCAATGATGCAGGCTCAGTCAATCAGATTATACTGCAGGTCAGATGTGCAGGATATACAGAGTCTACATGCTTGTATGTTCGTTTACAGCACCAGACAAAACAGCAAATGTCAGGTGTTTCAGAATTTAAGACCACCACGGTCGACCCTGGTTTGAACCTCTTCGACCCCACTCAGGCCAGACAGTGTGAGGGCACTCTGTGGGGCCAAATACCACTCAAAACAACAGGGGTGGGCCACGCCACACAATATGGTTTGGATCCAATACCAAGTACAACCAAGGCCAGAGTCACCAATTAAAAATTCAAAACAGCTTATGTCATGTAGAGCAGTATCAATACTTAAGGTTTCGAACCACCCACCCCTAGTTCACACCCACAGAAGTCGGTGTTTATTTCACTCTCTGCAAACATTAGACAGCTATAATAAAGAGCTGGAACAAGTTGATGTAGATTATACATGTGATATTGTCAAACAGTGTGGAATAAAATGATTTTAACAACCTAGAGCTAATTAAAGTGGAAATCTAAGGGAAATGGATGTTCAGGGATCAAAGCGGGAGAGGATTGAGAGGCCACATGTGGACTTTTGTGTATGTCACATTAGAAAACACAATAAACACAAAAACCAAGTGGAATCCAATATTCAAAATGACTCTCAGCTGTGCGAGTATGAAAGCCTCCTCTCAATCATAGAGGGACTTTGGTAGCAGAAGGTAAGCAGCTGCCAAGTTTCACTTCCTCTGCTCTGCCCTCTGTGTTTATGTGCTATGTTAGCACACAGCGGAGGCCTATCAGTTTCCCCCCTGCACGACTGATTTATGGACAGCATTAGCATGTTTATGAGATGCCACCGTCCCTGCAAAAAAAAAAAAGATCTTTTTGCTGTTACTCAGCAAGAACGGGTGTTGCAATGCAGCACTGAGGTACAGATAGACAGGGGATGGAGTTACACTGTCCAATCACTGAGACAGCTTGCTGACAATCCCCAAAGTAGCGACTTCTCTTCCAGATAAGTACTGTATCTACTGTATTATATGTTTACTCTATCTACAAAATCTACTGGCAGAGAAAAGGGGGCTATATGCTGAGTCACTGCTGTAACCTGTGAGCATTAGTCCAAACGTGTAAAACGCACCCCGTCTCCTCCTGACTTTTTAGACCACCTGCTTCAAGGTAGCAGGGCGCTATGAATAAATGAATAACAGATTCATATCTTCAGTCTGACAAGGTGATTGCAAAGGCGAAGTCAAGCTGGGATTCAGATTGCAGCCTCATACAAAGCAATGAAAGCTTTTCTGACGTGAATAGGTGAGTGTGTGTCTGTGTGTGTTAGAGGTAGCCACACACTGGCCTCACACACACACACACACACACCCACACACAGGCGTTAACACACACACACCGAGTCTGGAGCAGCATGTGGTCCATCCCGAGAGCAGAGCTCGGCTGATGGTTGCCAGGATACTGTTGGCCTGGTGATATCATCTGCTTGTCTCGGCAGAAGATGTGGGTGAAAAAAAGCATCCAGTTTTGCTCACACTGGGTCAGCTGCTTACAACAATGATCTGATGCACCAGTCTTTACTGCCTGACCAGCAGTCAGCCTTGTTCTTAATTGCAGAACACAAATGGTAAACACAAAATTCACCAAGCCCTAAAAACAAAACAGGAAATCAAGAAACTAACAGCTTCTTACACATCTCTCTTCTTACCCTCTTTTCCTACGAGTGATTCGCCTCTTTCTCTATCTTTAGCCCTCAGTTTCTTCTCTTCCGTCCTGTCTTTGTCCTGCCTGCTTTGTGAGATCGTTGCTGTGAGTAAATCCCAGGTTAGCGGCGGCTCAGAGAGATGACTGCAGTCCCACGGTGGAACTGGTTGCCACTGCTTTTCTTAGAGACTGATGTAAACTTCTGCTCTCGCTCTTTCTCCCTCTGTCTCTCTCTGTGTATCTCTATCCACTTCACACTTCTCTTTTTCAGCCATCTATTTAAAGGCCTGTGGTTTTCTCTATTTGATCTGTGTGCTAGATGTGGCTCTTTGTGTTGTTTTGTGCAGTTTGTATACAATGATCCTCTGCTGGGTGAGGTTGTTGATATGAAGAGCTTAAGATATGTTCATGTTATTTACATTTCTATCTTTTCCCTCTGGCTGCATTGTACTGACGCATGTGTCTGTATCTTTTCAATTCATACGCAAACAGAGAAAACTCTTCTCTCTTTTTGGTTCTGACGTCAGAATGGGTTCCTCAAAAATATCCCCTCCAGCACTCCTCTCTGCCTCACTTCTCTATTTTACCACTCAGCAGCACTCTACGGGCTCCTCTGGCCTTGTCTTGTCACAGCACATCTCTGTCATGGTGCCATTCAGTCTCACTGGTGGCCCTTAGGTGCAAATGAATCTAAGTGGCAGAAAGGGAATGGTGATCGGGCTGCGCAAAGACACGTTTCCTTTTAAACTGGCGTCCGTATTGTAAATAAAAGCCAATGGGTGTATCACAGTCCCACTGTTCGGACATTAAGACATGGCATTCTGTGAATTAGGAAGTGTGTTTGGTGACCACTGGTTGCAGTTTCTCTTGCACGCAAACACACACAATGTTTGTAGTCAGCCAGCGTGAAAGTGGAGCAAAGTGCTTCTCTTATGCAACTGCACAGCACACACAGCTCTCATCTGTAGTCCGGCAGGAGAAACCAAACCAAGGGGGCTCCTCGAGTCTTAATAAAGACACGGCTCGGCTCCCACATGGCGTCTGAAAAGCAAACCTGGTCCAGACTGGAAGCCAAGCAGCGGAGCGAGGCCTCCCGGCTTCCTTTCAGCTCGTACTGAAAGATTCCTCCTGTTAACAGACCAGGAGCTTCATCAGTGTGGATTTACTGAGCACAGAAACTGTGCTGCACATCTCTGCCAAGTCCAACCTCTATTAACTCACCAATAATACCATCTGAAATCCTTTTCTCCATCTGTGTCTCTTTCTCTCTAACCACAATGATCTCTCTTTCTGCCGAACACTGGCTGACTGGGTATTCATTGGCCTGTGAATCAAACCCATTCAGCAGCTGTACTGTATACAACGGATGCAGCAACTGTACTCTCCTAGCTCCCATCTTTCCTCTTTGCCCATCACTGTTTCCTTATCCATAAATTGTCCATCCGTCTCCCCCCTCTCCAACTCGCCCATATGGTGTTTCTCTGCCGTGTCCTTATTTTTCAGCTGTTGTGCTCTCTTTTTTTCTCTCCCTGCATTTTTTCACTCCTCATTTTTTCATTCCTACCTTCGCTTGTGTTTATCCCTCTGGAACACTTCACTGCATCAACCAGGGCTTGTCAGCTCCACACAGTGGTTACAGCATCAGCACCCACCACCTGACAAAGAGACAGACAGATAGACAGAGAGAAAGAGAAATTAACATAAAATTCAACATCATGTACAGTACAGTGTCGGGAAAAGCAGGAATGTAGAAGTCTTGATTTTGGCTTGAATCAACAAGGGCGAAAAGCATTGGCAAAGAAAATAAAACAATAATTATGTAATCAGGCTAATGTGCTTGTTTGCCTTAATTAGCCTTGTAGGTGAGAATATGATTTTAGTTAGCTTTACAGTGAAAGTTGTACACATATTTAACCTGCTACTTAGCTACAACTTGAAAATGTTATTAGTCTTAAAGTTTAAACCTGCAATAATAATGATAATAATTTTTTGCCCACTTAGAGACAGCAGAAACAAGCTCACAACATTAAGTATTATCACGATGCTAGAGTGAACGTGTTACTATACAGTTGCCTAATTACACACCTAGCAGATACAGAGCAATGGTAGCATTTATTTGAATGTGTTTGTGTCCCCAATGAATGTAAAGCCAATATTCACTCTCCTTCTAGTACTGTTTTGGTCTCTACTAACTCTTGAGAATAATATCTGGCTCTTCAGCTGCTAAATGCTCCACTATGTTAACTAGCTCATTGCTAACTTTGTCTGACAAAGGTTTTTATTATTAACAGCTGCCGGCTGCGGCTCATGGGACAGTAAAGTGTCGGGCCATAAAACCAAAACGATGAGCTGAAAGATACTAAAACGCTCTGTAAAGCTGATGGGAACTGCAGAGTGAGGTAATTAGTCGTGGGTTTGTCACAACCAGCAACTCCTTTCACATTACACAAAGTTATCTGATCAGTTAATATAAAAAATATCGATTACAGCAGCTGAGCTTTGAGATGAATGCCAGCGTCGCCGTGCTAACATTTACAAATGTGCTCGGTACATCTGAGGCTGATGGGTATGTAATTAGTCTGCAGGTATTTGATTATAAACCAAAGAATTCAACAAGACGCAGCACCAAAGTTGTCAGAATATATTCTGAGAGGGACATGTATGTGTGTGTGTACTAAATGTCACGGCAATCCGTTCAATAGTTTTAGAAAACAATCATTAGTTTGCACCCTAACTGGGTTACATACTGAGGACGGTAAGGATGGCATAAAAGCTGCAACTTCCCTGATTTTACACAGTGAGCCTCGGATACAATTGGGGATGAACTCAGGATGCATGGTTTCTAACTTCTTTGCATCTGTAAAAAAAAATATTATTTATACATAATGATTAGTAGAGGCCTTTGTTATTTAGAAATGTGACCAATAATTTAATATTTTGTTTGATTCCTTGTCTCTAAACTCTTTCTCGAGCTATTTAAGAAAATCGAACTATCTATACAGCATCATATTGCATTAAATCACATTGTCTTGAGTCAAACCGCAATACGGGCGAACAGGTATCGTATCACATTGGTAGCTGTATCTTTAATGTATTGGATTGTCGGCAACGCATCGAGATGAGTATCTCATCGGCCTCGGTGATCGAGACGGACACCTCCGTTACCTACTGCTCTGAAAGTGACTGAAGTTGTTACACATTGTCAACATTTTGCTGAGACTTTGTTGAAAGGGCCAATTTGTTCTTCCAAGAGTTTTCCAAACCCCGAGAGGGAAAGCATTACTTCACGAGGCTCCATCTGTGTTCAGACTTAGTTTCAGGGCTCCGCATCTGAGAGCGGATATCCTTGCTGTTCCACATCATTTACTGCAAAATTGCACAACTGTCCATATTGTAGGTAGGGACAGAAGAGAAGAAGAGAGTGCAAGCTTTAACATAAACTAAAGCACACACAAACACACACACACACACACACACACACACACCAGGGGCTTGTGGCAAACAGGTTCAGATAGTAACATGATGTCTTCACTGAGCTCAGGCGCTGCCCTATTTTGGTCGGAGGAGCTGCCCACTATCAAATGAAGGACGAGTGAACGAGGAGAGCTCGGTGCAAATCAATAGGGATCAACCTCTTGGTATTGCTGCCACCCGTCCCTCCGGCTCAAAAGGGAGCTCAGATCAATGCAGATGTGTGCGGTTGACAAGGATCTAAAGAGGGAGCGCGCTGTGGACGCTGTCCTCCTTTTCCACTTGCACATAACACCGGCTAAGATTAGACATTCAATTGGACCTGGAGGGTAGGGGAGGAGACGGATTTGTACACAGACTTGTCAGTGATTGTGTTTTGAAATGATTTTACACCATAGTAGTGGTTGTAAAAGCAGTAGTGGCTGTAGGAGTAGGGGTCGCAGAGGGTCAAAGAGGTAGAAGAGATAATAGAAGTTCAGTTCTAGAGATTCTTTGATTACTTTGCAGGTGCTGAGATTTCTGTCTCTCAAACTCACAAATGAGTGAAATTACCGGGGTGCAGACACCTGTGCAGCCGGTTCATTATACCTGACAAATGATTTTCACTGCCTTTTTGAGAAAAATGACATCGCACATATTCCTGTCTCATACTGTGATCACGTCAGGTGGGAACTGGGGCGTTTTCTACTTGGACCGATCCAAAATAAAGAGCCCTCGATGGGAAACCCCGACAAAGAACAGGTTCAGTGTTGTTAGTTGCAGCCCTAATAATAGCAAAACACCATGTTTTAGGCTTTAAAGGTCGGGTAAGCGATTCTAATTCACTTCAGTGAATGTCTCCACACCGTCCACTAGCTTTCCGCTGTGTGTGTCCGCCATGTTGAACCTATGCTTCATGTGAACTGGTGATGATCGTGTTGTTATACAGCAGCCTTCTGACATAACCCTACATCAAATAAAAGCGTGGAGACCCCAGGCTTTTGTTGGCTAACAGTTGTTGTTGCAGACATGCTTTTTGAGAAGCCAGGTCTTTTTGTCTTCATTGTTTCCTGTGAAACTACTAGCGAGTCTGACATTTCGGTTCACACTCTGTATGTGGGGGGGAAAAAAAATGCTGCTTTCAAGTCAGCATTAGCGCGTCGGCCCAGGTTTAAATGTTTCGAGCCCGGCCCCGCTGTCAAGATGAATGGTGGGTTTTCACAGAGTCAGATGATGGAGAATCCCATTGTGAGGAACAGCACACCGGCCGTGTCCACTGTATGATGTTTCACCTCAGGCTAGAGGAATCAAAGCACCACCTGCGGACCACAGGAGCCACTGCTGCACAACAAACGCTACTCTCCGTGTCAAATATCCTCACTTGAAATGTCAGAGATCTTCCTCTGGCTGTGGATAACCAAACGCTCACTCTACCCGCCTCCACTGTTCCACTGCACGTTTAAATGACACAATAAAGCAGGGAGCTATTTGGTTCATGTTTTCACACTTGACAGTTTAGTGTATGCTATAATCTTGCCATATTTACGCAGACTCCATATACATTTGTCTGAGCCGGCACACAACTTACACTGCCTGGCTTCCCCAAGGTAGGTAGCCATTAACTCAACAAGAGCTTCACATTATCATTTGAGTCACGCTGCTCTTTCCATAACGCTGCCGACCACATATACAGGCTGCCGCAAACCTGTAATCATGAAGGTGAAAGAGAGGTCATTGTTAAAGAAATTAGCAGCTTGACTAAATGACTGTTTTCGCTCCTAGTGTCAAGAGGTGAGCCGGGAGGACGGGCGTAACAACTGGCCTTCGACTGGCAGGGGACAAAACATGAAATGATGTGTGGGGCTTCGGTTCAGCAGAGGAATAGAAACACGCGGAGGCTTGAGTGTCGAGGCATCTTCAGTTAACATCAATGGGAGCATTCCTCAATGGCTGATAGTTTTTGACAAGGCCAGGTGTCGGCTTGGCTATTTATTTAAAAAAAAGCTGCATTCAGTAGCAGCCACTGCCTGTATTTGTCCTGTGTAGCAGGATTGTATAGCTGGCAACTGACCAACCTTAAAATAAGACTCTGAAGTGGCTTAGGTCAAGCTTCACCAACTCAACATTAGTAAAAGCCTCGGTATGCAAGTGTTTTGAGCCATCAAGCCTCCAGCAATGACGATTCAAGGGATGTGACAATACACTCAAATCACGACTCGTTTAAAAATCTACAATAGATGAATCCTTTTTTGCTTCTGAGGGAGGATATGAACTGTGTAAAACGATGCATATTTCCTCTTCTTTGTAAAAGGGAAACAGAAGTCTTTGCGCCTTGATACCACCATTGATATTACGATTCATTTTTCATCTCACTGATTTGAATCTTCACATATTCATGTCATGATTAAACTGGCTCGTGGTGTTGTGAGTCTCCAAAAGAAATCCACAGATGTTCAGTTTCCAATGATATATGACAGAGAAAGCAGCAAAAAGTAGAGAATTATTCTTGTTTTTTACTATTTTTGCTTGAAAATGTTTAATCGATTATCAAAAATTGCTGCTGTTTGTTCCTCTGTTGGGCAACTGATCGATTAACTGATTAATGGTTTCAGCTCTATCCAGAACAGAGGAATAATGTCAAACAACCAGCTATAACTAGGGAATGAATGAACCGAATCGTATGGCTCGCAGCTTATCAGTGCCTGTAATCAGTGTTTTTCTGACAGCTACGCATTGCAAAACAATGACGTCAAAACTCGTGCGTCTACGCTGCTGGAAACTTGCGACAAGAAGGAGCCACGGAGGAGGAGGAGAAGAAAAGTGTGGCCTCATTTCACAATGAAACATAAACTACTATAATGACTATTATATCTACACTGTGTTCAGATAATAAAAACACTTCAAACCTGAAAACCTGATATCTGAAGAGGCGTGCTTTTTTGCCCTACACAGTAAATTGATCAGGAATGGATAAGAATCGGACAGATAAGCAGAATC